TTATTTCAGAGACATTTATTTATAGAGGGTAATGGTCAATAATTTATATAAATGGGTTAATTATACGGTTTTCGGTTACCTTACGGTTACAACCGGTCAGGACGAGTATGATTGAAATTTGCACACAAGAACAAAAGTCTTGTTGCACTCGACTTCCCTCCACGGTTCGACCCCCGCCCCCAGCCCACCTCCACGGACTTCCTGTTGCTCACCCGTGGCAAACCTGCCTAGCGACCTCGGGACGTCAGCCGTCGCAGCAGGACGTCCTCGAGCCGAAGCGTCCGCGGTTCCCTCCGAGAGTGTCCTCGGGCGTACCCTGTTCCATTCCTTTTTGTGACAAAACTGAATTCCTGCTGTAGATTTGAGAGCTGAACTTTCCAGTGGCATTAATACGCTTTAGGTGAAAAAGTACATTAAAAGATGTAGTTGTACACAGGGGGAGACACATTTCTCTAACGACCTTCAAAAGTCCTTTTTTCTAGAGGAGAGAAACAACAGGACTAGGTAATATATTTTTGGCACGACTTTTACTCGACTATGTCTAAAACGGGTGAAAATACTACAGTATTGCTAAAAAAACGAACACATTTGGTAAATCTGTTTATTTGGTTGGTTCCATTGGAGGGGGTAGGCCATAGTCGGTACTTAGAGGAGGATCTCGTGTAACTCCAATAAAAATTGGTTATAGACGATTCTCCCCGCACCCCTCACCGAAGGATAAAAGTAGATTTCATTGTCTGTCTCTTATCAGTGAAAACCTTTGTCCCGACTTTTGTCTCCCCTAATACCCTACGACCGTTACTAGGCAAACCACAAACCTCGCGTTTGTGAAGTCTCTTACAAACATATATAGACTCTGGACATTATATAACTACTTTTGTTATACTTATCCCCTGGCAAACTTTACTGTCACCTGAGTGTAGCCTTATTATAAGAGTTCTGCAAAACTTGGTGACTACCCAACCTCAATTCTTGAAACATCGAAGTCTGTCTTCAGGTCACTATTCACCTTTCCTTCATTAGTTGGACACAAAT